ACTAATTATTAAGATTGGAGTAATTTTACATGATTGCGTCTTTAAAACTTTCTCAAAGTGCTTGCTTTCTTATCTTGTTTAACTGGTATACAAAGTGCATATTGCGTTATACTTTTATGTATTTCCGACTATATGAACCGAACGATAGTTGTGCATACCTACAAAAAACATAAGGTGATAATCCTTTTAATACAGGGCTAGATACCATCCTATAGACTGGACGGTAAATTTAACTTTTAGATAAATTTTGTACATAAGTGATTAGAAGTTGTGTTGTGAAGAATCTCCTTATCAATTATTTTTTTGGATATTTATTTTAATAATTGCCGGATTGAAGGGATTCATAAATAGATTTCTTTAGGAAGACAAATTAGAATTTCCTTGGGATACAACTTAATTTTAGCGACGAAGAGTTTGGCACGCCATCCTAGGGGTTGCAGGACGATTAAATAGGATTAACATTTTGTTGGAACTGCTAAATTGTCCATCTTTAGCATATTGGTTCATTTGCGATCATATTTTATAAATTTCTTACTTTATATATAAAATGATCGTTCGTTTGCACAACCAGCTATAAGTAATTCCTACCAACTTTATGTGATGCATGTTTCTCGAGGCATGGATGCGATATTGTATCCCCTCTGTATCCCCCCTTTAATATACACTAAGCAGTCTTATTCTGATCTCCTGAATGAATTATTGGCTAAAGTAAACATTAGAAACAGGAACTAGTTATTTTGGCTGAGCTTTTATCCTCTTGATATTATCTTATCTAATTACCTTCTAGGTGCTCAGTGCTCATCTTGTTCCTCTTGATATTTCTGCCTGGTGGGAGGTTTCTCCGAATTTTTCTGAGTCCCGTCTGGTCTGCGGTGGTATTAATAGTGGCAATAATTCCACTGATCGTCTTTGTTACGATGTCGCATTCAGCGATCCGGAGCTTGAAACTGGGATTGAAGTCACTGGTCGGGCGACAGCAAAAAAGAGATCTAAGTGGCATGTCCACACAAGCGAACAGCCAGATGACTCTGGTGTTCTCGCGAAAGGGGAAGTTTTTGCAATTTCAAAGAAGCGCGAGCGACACAAACATTCTTTTGTTTCTGATTCTGCACATTATGGCACTAATGGAAGATTCTCATCAGGGACAGGTATGTATCATCGGTTTTATACTGCTATTTTTGCATAATTACTTGTCATTTAGTGAGTATTGGTGGCCTTATTTATTGTATATATATTTAATAATTATTTTTTAAGACATTCATTAAATTATGAACTACTATAGGTCGTATACAACTATGTATGAATGTTAGTTGACTTTTCAAATAATAAAATGGATAGAAGTCACGATACGACTGCATTTTACCTAAGCTTCCATTCATTTCGACCTTGCCCAGATCTCATCATCTTCTTTAAAAGGATTTCAAATTCTGCCATGCGCTCTTAATGGTAAAACTTAGCTCCTTCGCTTTGAGAGTCCCTATGGCTCACTCATACTCTTGGCTGTAAAGGATTAGCAATGTTTAGCCACTGTGCCCACGACCCAGTTTTAAATCCTTTTGATGGTACTGGTGAGACAAGCCATATCGAAAGTGCAATCAATCCTGGACGAAAAAATTTAGGGAGGCTAGGTTTTGCGATATTCTACGGAAATATGTGCTCTATTCGTTTGATTTTGATAAGATTTAACTACCAGTCTTTCATTATCTTATTCGAGTTAAGTTCTTATTTGCTTTATCCGCAATTATTCATAGACCATCGGTCCATGCATTTTTTGCTTTAAACAGCTTTCGAGATTTTTTTATTAAAACTAACGTGGCATACTTCACGGAGGTAATTTAAATATGCTTAATGTTATACATATTTCATAAAACAATATTAAATGTCTTTATTAATAAGAGATTCGATATAAATCGTCTGAGACCTTAGA